TGGGAAGTACTTTTCTCTTGAGTGTGAACACACTTCTCATGCTTCTCCACATTTCCTCAGGGTTGCATTCAAATATGTTTAAGCCACGTGTGTGTATTAAATATGTAATTTAGTTACTTATGAAACTTATGATGAAACATGAGTAAACCAGAAAATTATTTCAACAAAAACCATCTTAAGCCTTTTGATAAATTATGCAAAGGCAAGTTACTAAAACCATTCATTGTCCAATTAGAGAGATAGTGAGACAGCCATAAAAGATTGGGAAACACTAGGGCTGGAGAGATGGCTCAGATAAGAGCACTGGCTGCTCTTGCAGAGGACCCAGGTACAGTTCCTAACACCCACATGGCAGCTAACAATGACCAGAAACTCCAGTTCCAGGGGATTCCTCTTCTGGCTTCTGCAGGCACGACATGGTACAAGTGCATTTACATACATGTAGGCAAAACATTCGTATATATAAAAATATATAAAAATTATTGGGGAATATCACAAAATCCAGGATTTTTAATTTTGAATGTTTTATAAGTGATATTAAATGGTTGCTTGGTCTGAAACTAGAAGATGATGTGCATTATGGGAGACAATGCCCTGCCCATGAACCTGGAAATCAGGATTTCCTTTTGAGAGTAAACCACATTCTTGACACAAAATGGATAAGGTTGAAAATAACCAGTCTGCTCAGATAGACAAATGTTGCTCTCTGACACTTTTGCTCGGTTGAAAATGGTTATTAATACTTCAGGAAAAAAATGTCCATTAGCAGTACTGGCAGAAATGAGGAGAGACGATGAGACAGGAATGTAAAAACAGAGGAACTGCAGAGGCCAAAGTCTGTCCAGGACTTATGGATGCTGATGCTCTGGTCTCAGGGTATAGTCTGTTCTGTCTTAGGGCAGGTTTATCCTTCAGATGGAGGGGTATTGTCATCAATGACTCCTGCTTTGGGATGCTTGAATCCTCCCACTCGCCTCCTTGATGTGGATTTTCTCTTCAGTAACATCCTATTGCTTATAATTTGGCTGCCCAATTGGCATTCCTATGTACAGGTCATATTGATGTAAGTGTATACATGACCATTCTGGTCCCCATGGAGCTTAAGGAATCTGCAGTTCTGATCACCTAATCATAAATATTATGTTGGCTATGTGACCAGTGTCCTGGCAAAATCAATTTATGCATGTGGGTATTGAGAGAGCCTGAACTATAAGCAGTTGATAAGAAAAAAATTGATAAGGGCTCCTTGGTGTATAGCCAGTCAGAATTTCTTGGATCCCGCAGTGATAGCCACTCTTGGAACCCATGTGCTTCAAACTTGTTCAGACAGCCTCTCCTTGGCTGTTTTGTGGGACACCCTTGCTGTTTTTTATGTTGAAGGGGCTTGATCTAAAACAGGTGTCTAGGTCACAGTGAATAATTAGGAGTTTCTCCAGAGAACTTAACCCCCCTCTTTCTCCTCCTCCCCCTCCTCCTCGTCACCTTCCTCCTCCTCCTCCTCCTCCTCCTTCTTCTCCTTCTCCTTCCTCTTCTTCCTCCTCCTCTCCCCTCCCCCTCCTCCTCCTCTTCTTCCTTTTCCTCCCCCTCCCCTCTCTCTTCCTTCTCCTCCTCCTCCTCCTCCTCCTCCCCCCCTCCTCCTGTTTTCTTCTTCTATTTCTTCTTTGAGATGGAGTCCCATTATGTAGATGTAGCTGTCCTGGAACTCACTATATAGACCAGGTTGGCCTCACACTCACAGAGATCCACCTGCCTCCGCCTCATAAGTTCTAGTATTAAAAGTGTGGACCCCCACACCCAGCTTGAGAATTTCTTTATTGAAACATCTTAGGATTAATTTCTTATCCCAAATGTATAAATTGTATTTTCATCAGGAACAACACCTATTGCTATAGTTAAAGTCCTTGGAAGTTTTGTATTGTCTCAAAACTGTGTTCTCTAGAGCTGTTACCCTGAGGTTAGAAATGTCAGAGTCATAGCCTGACCCTCTGAGCTAATGTGTGCAGTAAATGAAATATCAACAGGAATTCAGGCCTGTGTACAGGATGCCAAGGTTGCTTGGGTGCAGCCTGCAATTTGTTCTAAGTCTTTCAGCACCCATACTTTTTCAAAGAGCATACAAATCTCGGAGAGCTGGCATGTATCATTATAAGGCAGTTTATGGTGCCCAGGCCTCTGTGGATCTCTGTATTCCCTATATATAGCATATACAGTGCTCTTGTTTTTTGAGCCTATGAACCAGGAGCCATCAGATTGATTGGATAATGGCTAAGTCACCATCTCACAATAGCCTGTGCCACCCTTAGGTCATAGGTAGCAATCTCCTGAAGATGCTTAAAACTTCTCAGATCACACAATGTGGCTATAAACTGAGAGAACATGGAGAGTGTATGTGTGTGTGCATGTGCATGCTAGAATCTTGTTATCTATTTCCTCTCCATGTTGAGGAAACTTCAGAACAATGTTTTTTTAAATGCAGACAGCAGAGTCTTTAAAATTATTGCATTTGCTTTATTGTGTGTGTGTGTGTGTATGTATGTATGTATGTATGTGCACACATGCCCTTGTTATGGCATGCATGAGGAGGCCAGAGGACATCTTTCAAGTTTCATTTCTCTTCTTCTACCATGTCAGTTCTGGGGATTGACTTCAGGTCATCAGGCTTGGCAGTAAGCACCTTTACCTGCAGAGCCATCTTGCCATCTATCTATCTATCTATCTATCTATCTATCTATCTATCTATCTATCTATCTATCATCTTTATCATCTATCTATCTATCTATTTCTCATCTCTGTATCTATCTTTGTGGTGTGTGTGTGTGTGTGGTGTGTGTGTGTCCCGTGCTCTTTTAAATGAAGATCCAACAGTAGAACATCTGTCTGAAAACAGGGAAAGTGCTCTCACCAGACACTGGATCCAATATCATCTTAGTCTTATACATCCTAGGCTCCAGAACTGTAATAAAGGTTTGTTGTTTTCTGCACTTGGTCTATGATATTCTGTTATAGAAGCCTGAACTGGCTAAGTCAGATGGATGAGAAAGTCTTATACAGAAGTGGAGGTGATTAGGTACTGGAAACATATCTTAAGAGGAAACCTCAAGTAGAAAGTGACATGAGAAATTTCTCTATCTATCTATTTATCTATCTATCTATCTATCATCTATCTATCTATCATCACCATCTATCTACCTGTAATATACTATCTATCTATCTATCATCTATCTATCATCTATTTATCTGTCTATCTATCTATCATCACCATCTATCTACCTATAATACCCAAACCTGGAGGAGCTGAAGGAGTAGGTGGGGGATTCCAAGTGCACTCTCAACATGTGTGGAATTCAGAGTCAATATGGCCAGGCAAGGAACTGACAGTTCTAGAAGTATTCTAGTAGCACAAGACAAAGCTGTGCAAATAGCAAGAGTCCATCTTATCTATCTATCTATCTATATCTATCTATCTCTCTATCATCTATCTATCTATCTATCTATCTATCTATCTATCTATCTATCAATCATCTATCATCATTATCTGTCATCTGTCTATAATTCTTTTTTTCAGACATGGTCTTATTACATAGCCAAAGCTGACTTGAACTTATTATTCTTCCACCTCTCCTAAGTACTGGGATTATAGGCATGAGTCACCACCATGCCTGGCTTTGTCTATATATATGTATACATGTACAATTTATAAAGATATAATGCAAAGATATAGCTCTAAACATTTTTTGATTTTTGAGACAAATCTCATTCTCATGTGGCCCAGGATGGCCTCAAATTTCAAGGATTAGCTTAAACTTCTGGTCCTACTGTCTCTGCTTCCCAAGTGCTAGGATTACAGGTGCACACTCTCTCAGCCGGTTTTATGTGGTCCTGAGGATCAAATCCAGGGCTTCATGCATGGTAGGACGTACTCTACTGACTAAGCTTCATCTCCAGCTCCCTCAAAATAGTTAAAAACAGGGATGTTAAGTCACATAAGTACATTAATAGTTATGAAAAGCAAGGGCTTTAATGCAAAAACATTCTGCTATCTAGTTAGCAGACCTTAGTCAGATTTTACCAGCTGTTTTCAATAGTGTCCTCTACAGGAAAACTTTCATTTATTTTTCAAGGTTCAGCATCCAATTGAGTAGCACATTGCTTTTAGCTTTTTCTGATTTGAAGTTTCTTTCAATCTGAGCCTGTCCTTGTTTCTCATGAACTTTAATAGTTCAAGGAGCACATGGTAATCATCCTGCTATCCTCTTTTTTGTTTCTTTTGAGGCAGGATCTTCCTGTAGTCCCAGCTGGCCTAGAACTCACCATGTAGACCAGGCTGGCCTCAATCTTACAGAATTCTGCTTGCTTCTGCCTCTGAGTGCTTGGATGAAAGGTGTGCGCCACCACGCCCAGCTCCCACAAGCCTTTTAAATTGGGTTTGCAGCTGCTTTCTCTTGAATAGATCCTCTGTGTGTACCATCATGAGGGTAGTTTGTCTCTGTTCTATAGAGATGCTGCTCCTAACATTTGGTTATGGTGCTGTTTGCTAAGTTTCTCTATGTTAAAATGACCTTTTCTTCCTTTTGTGAGTATAAGAGTCCTCTTTATCTATGGTTTCATTTTCCAGGGTTTCAGTTACCCATAGTTAACTGTGATTTGAAAATAGTAAATGGAAAATTCCACAAGCAAAGAATTCATGTTTAAAATTACTTTTATTGCAGTATATTGTTAGAATTGTTCTATTTTTGTTATTAGTTATTGTTAATCTGCCATTTTGTCTAATTTATAAATTAAGTTTTATCATATGCATGTATGTTTAAGGAAAAACATAGTATATAGGGTTCAATTTTTTCTCCACAGTTTCAGGGATCCACTGAATTAAGTAACCAGTGAGGAGATACTGCAGGACTCTCTAAACTCCCCATTTGGTGCCTGCTGTCCCCTGGTGTGTTTGACCTGCTTTCTGCCTGCTGTGTTGGCATGTCTCATATGTTGTTTGCTCCTCTCCCCAGTGGTGATCATGTGTGCCAGTGGAGACACCATTCGGAGCATCATGCTGGCAGTGCACAGACATGGCATGACCAGTGGAGACTACGCCTTCTTCAACATTGAACTCTTCAACAGTTCTTCCTATGGTAACTCTGCTTTCAGTTTCCCCAACTCCGCCAGAGTGTCAGAAAGGGGCAAGAGCCGAGTCAACAATTTAAGTGAGGGGTTGGGAAGATGTCTGCCATGTAAGCATGAGAAAACCTGAGTTCAGATCTTCCAGCATCCATATAAAAGCCAAATTCAAGCAGCATGCCTATAACCTCGGCGCTGGTAGGGGAGGGGGAGCTAGGTAGAATCCTGGTGCTCACTCCAGCTAGCCTAGTAGAATCAGTCTGTTCTGGTTTAAGTGAAAGACCCTGTCTCAAACAATAGATTGGAGAGTGATCTAGGAAGACATTCCATGTCAACCTCTGGCCTTCATAAACACATGCACACACATGCATATATACCACATGGATATGTGCATACACCCAAAACAGTCGTACACCTCCTCACACCCCTCACACTCATAGACACACCACACACACACACACACACACACACACACACACACAATTTGAGTGAGGTCCATAGATGCAATTTTTTTTAATCCTAGAAACCACATTTAATTTCGGAAATTTGTGATTTTTAGCATTCCTACATTGTTCATAATTTTTCGAACTTTTCTTTTTTTGAGAACTTAATGAGAGCAAAAGACACCATATATCTGTTGTGTGAAGAAACTTGTCTGGGGGTCAGCATACACTCTGAAGGAACACAAATGCAGGCTCCAAGCACCATTTGTCCAGTGTTTTTCCAACTGAGCATTGCTATTGTGCTGGTGTCCTGCTAGAATAATTATAGTGAGATTTGGGTAGAATTTTAGGTAGAAGGAAAAGACTAGGCCATAAAATTATAGACTAGACTATGCCAAGATGTGTCATAGTTAGTATTATCTATTGCTTTGTAAAACTTTTAGTCATATAATAATATGCAAATATATAATACCTGTATATATTACATGTATGTTTATTATGGGCTGAAATATTAAATAAAATACTATTGCTGTAAGTTGAGATACAAACACTTGAAAGTCCTTGTGCCTAACTCCCTATCCTTCCAGGTTACTACACCTTAAGCCCCTCTTATGTAGAATTTCAGGAGTTATAGGGTGAAGTCATCTTTGATTCCTTATAAAGGATTTAGGGAAACTCCCAGAGTCCAAGTCATGGAGGATGTTTAAGGAGCTCATCATGATCATAAATATGAAACATTTTCCTCTCACTATGGTTAAGAATCTCTTTGAAGCAGACACTTTAGGGCTATAGAACATTTTCTTAAAACTGCACGCTGACTGCTCAAAACAAAGCAGCTCCAGGGGAACTATGAATGTGCAGATCACAGATGGCATGTTTATGCTGAACTCCACTTCCGAGTTCGTGCTGATGATGAATAGTTAGTTAGGCAGGATCCAAGCCATAAAACATTCACTCTGGTTTCCTGCCCTGATATCCTGGCTTACTTAAGCAGTGGATCATTGTGTGTATACAGATAATATAACACACTTCTCATGGGGACCAAGAAAAGTTGATGAAACAAAAGTAGCTACTGCTTCCTGTGATGGATAACACACTAAAGACGTGAGACTTGCAGGATAAACAGTTATTGACTATATTTGCTACCAAGTGGAGTGCTTTCACTTCTTGACCAGAAAGTTATTACATTATTGGCTGCAGCATTGAGTTCACATTTGTTCTGTTTTTTTTTTTTATGTGAAATACAGAATTTAGAGGTGGTGTGTTGATGTACATTATAAAGGGGCAAACACCTTTGAAAAATGGCAAGCATATTTGCATGCATTATGCATACAGCACCTAATACAATGTTAGCTGCTAGAATCCCTTTCACCAATAGATGAAACTTGTGTTACTTTCTTCTATTATGACAATATATCAGCATTGTAGAAAATTTGGAAAAATATAGAAACACAATGGGAAGAAAATGTTATAATTCTGCCACTCAGATAAAAAGTACATTGCTACTTATGCCTGCATGTGTGTAACTGTACCCATGTTGTGCAGTGCCCACAAAGGAAGAAGAGGTCATTGAATCCCCTGGAACTGCTTTTGGATGGTTGTTAGCTGCTCTGTGGGTGCTGGGATTTGAACCTGGGTCTTCTGCAAGAACAGCCAGTGCTCTTAACTGCTGAGTCATCTTTCCAGCCCTCTAATTGAAACATTTTTAGCAATATAAAATTAACCACTTTAATGTGGAGACTCTGTGGCTCTTAGACTTATATAAAACTTGTAAAAATAACATAGAATTCAAGCATATATTCACAAGCTTTTATCACTGTTGATAAATAATCAGTAAAATTTTCAAATAATGAAAACTAATATTGCTCCAATACTACTAAACTACAGGCCTTATTTGAAATTTACCTTCTAATGTTCTTGATGTGGGCCAAGATGTAACCCCACCTCCAAACTGCAGTGGATTCTTGTGTGTCATCAGTATCCTGTTGTCTGTGATGGCTTTTCCACTTGTCCTTGTCTTTCATGACCTTACCACGTTTGATCAGCCCATTATTTTGTAGAATGTCTCCAATGTCTGGTATTTTCCCACCATAAGAGTGAGCTTGTGCATAAAGTGATGTGCCATTTTAAGTACATGGAACCATTACATAAGAGATTTTATCTCTGGGGTTGTCTTGAAAATTTAACTGCAAAATGGTTCTGTATTAATCACAAAGAGTACTTGGTGTTTCTATTAAATCTTTATTATTTTATATTTATTGTACATTTGCTCAGACTTTGGGCTCTGGTGTTAGTTGGCCTGAGAGACTTAGCTCTTAACTGTTAAGAGCTAAGGCTTATTAGTTTAACCCTTAAACTTGGCATCGTGACTTGACCCTGCCCTCTTCCGCAGCCTTAGATTATTCTAATTATAAGAGTAGTCCTTGCCTCACATATCAGGCTGAGTAACAAATAGACAAAAGAAAGTCTGCTAAATACCTGCAAACTTTTTGAACATGACAATTATTTAATAAATATTAGCCATTTTCATTATTAGTCTTAGTTAACTTTGACCACTACACATAGAAGTTTAAAAATTGAAAGTTAAGTTTGCAAACATTTTTGTGATGGTAGTTTTATAGACACATTTCAGGATACACATTCTGGTACCAAATCAACTGACTTTTAGCTAGTCCATCCTAAGGAGCTGTGTACATTATGTATTACACTTGAAAGTGCATAACCAAGGTTCCCAACTGTAGTGTTTGAGACAAATGTAAAGGCTTTTTTTTTTCTTTCTTTTACCTGAAAGAATTCTGGAGGTGGGATGTCCAGGGTAAGGATTGGCTTCCATAATATTGTCTCTGTTACAAGCTCTTATGTTTCCTGTTCCTCCAATCTTAGTGCCAATTTCCATTCTCAAGGTCAAATATTATAGGGCAAGGCATGTGGCACATGTCTTTAATCCCTCCAACTCAGAAGGCAAAAGCAGACAGATGCCTGTGAGTTAGAGGCCAGCCTGGTTTACATAGTGAATTCCGTGCTAGCCAGGGCTACAAAGTAGTACCCTGTCTGAAAAAAAAGATTGTGGCCAGGGTTCCAGGGGTCATGCCTCAATTCTAGGCAAGCTGGGTGAAGAACACGGTAGGTGGCAAGAAATCCTTCCAGTTGACTTGGTTCTCTTTGGTGAGCTCTCTGGGAAGCTCTATTAAACTTCTGGATACATGAGATTGGCTATCCCTGGTTGAAAAATATGTCAGAAATAGTGTTTTTAGTTGGACTTCCTGATATCCTAAATCAATCTGGGATTTTGTTAGTAAGGAAGAAGGGAGGGTGGGTGTATGGAGGCACCTCTCCATGTCTTCTGTAGATCTTAAAGTGTCTTCCTCCTCAGAGCAGAAGTGGCAAAGATCACATGGTGGGCAGAGTCACCTGAACCAAAGGTTTGGTGTACCATTAATAAAGGGTCTTCTCTAATAATTTATATTTTAATAATTAGATCGATGATTACAAAGGTTCTTTAGCATACACTTTTCCCTATACTTCCTCACAGCAAACCGAATACCTGTTTTTGAGAAAGGTTATCTATTTTCATCAGTATTTGATTGATACTGGACTTTTGAAAACACAGTTAATAGTATGTCTATAACTCTGATTACGAGGTTGTGGAATCTTGGTGAGCCCTCAGATATTTTCAGACTTCCCCAAATTTTATGGCAACAGGATTTCAGTTCATAGTATAATAAGGGGGAATTAAAGTGCTTAAGATTTAAAAGACGAACTTGCTCTAGAGATAAGATGATATATATTGTCTTGTAGAGTTTTTAACAATGCCTATCAACATTTCACCTATTTGTATTAACTTCTTAGAAGGTGTGTTAGTGGAAAGTTATTTGGGAAATCCAAACTGGAGCTGTTAGGATTATTGTGGTGCTCACCTTGCCTTCCTGAGAAGTGAGAGGGCAGGAATTCAGGTGTGGTTCCAAGTGTAGTAGAGGTTTGTATATTAGTTACCTTTCTGTTTCTGTGATAAAATAGCATGACCAAGGCAACTTTTCATCGGGCTTATGATTCCAGGGGAATAAGAGTCCATCATGATAGAGGAGGCATGGCAAGGGGCAGCGGGAGCAGAAAGCTGAGCACTCACATCTCCAAGCAGGCACAGGAAGCAGAGAGAGAGAGAGAGAGAGAAATGTGAAATGGGGCCAGGCTAAAGCCCACTCCCAGTGATGCACTTCCTCCAGCAAGGCCGCACCTCTTAAGCTTCCCAAAACAGGACCATTGACTGGAGAAAAAGTATTCAAACAGTCTCTAGGGGCATTCTCATTCACACCATAGTTAGTGATACACAGAATTAGATCATTGGCTACAAATGGAAAAGTAACAGACACAACACACACACACCACATGCACATACACATCTGAGGAGGGATTGAATTTAACTGTTTTGTTATAAAAGTGATATATACACATTAAAGATAATTTGGAATAAAGATGAAAAAGAATCTGATGAAATCCTGCCACTGTAGCAGCTACTGGGCAGTACATTGGCACTTCTGTTTTTCCTTTTCTATTTTTTTCTTTTAAATATT